ATCTTCACCAGCATTGGAGAGGACTATGATGAGCGTGTGCTGCCATCTATTACTACAGAGATCCTCAAGTCGGTGGTGGCTCGCTTTGATGCTGGAGAGCTAATCACCCAGAGAGAGCTCGTCTCCAGGCAGGTGAGCGATGACCTTACGGAGCGAGCAGCAACCTTTGGGCTCATCCTGGATGATGTTTCCTTGACACATCTGACCTTCGGGAAGGAGTTCACAGAAGCAGTGGAAGCCAAACAGGTGGCTCAACAGGAAGCAGAGAGGGCCAGATTTGTGGTGGAAAAGGCTGAGCAGCAGAAAAAGGCAGCCATCATCTCTGCTGAGGGGGACTCCAAGGCAGCAGAGCTGATTGCCAACTCACTGGCCACAGCGGGTGATGGCCTGATCGAGCTCCGCAAGCTGGAGGCTGCAGAGGACATTGCATTCCAGCTGTCGCGCTCTCGGAACATCACCTACCTGCCAGCAGGGCAGTCTGTGCTCCTCCAGCTGCCCCAGTGAGGGCCTGCCCTGCCTGTACTCCTCAGGCCAACTGGGCCACAGCCCTGATGATGATTAACACCACCTCCCTTCTGCCCCCACCCAGAAATCACTGTGAAATCTCATGATTGGCTTAAAGTGAAGGAAATAAAAGTAAAAATCACTTCAGATCTCTAATTATCAAATGAAGCTCTTTCATTCTTCTCACACCCATCTACTTTTTTAACCACCTCCCTACCAAAATTGCCAAGTGCCTACACAGACTAGCCTTGGGTCCCAGTTCCAGGCCTGCGGGAGCTCCATTCTAGGCACTGGCAGTTAGCAGGACAGAGGCAGGACAGGGCATGTGTGGACCAGGGAGCACAGTTGTCAGCCTGGGCAGATGTGCAGTGTCCGTGCTATCTGCTGAAGGTTTGAGGATGTGGCACACGCAGCTCCACTGAGAATGCAGCCTCAGTTTTTCCAGCAGTTCCTGCACCGACGCAGCTGAAAAGAGGTGCTGGGGAATGTCAGAAAGGAAGTGATCTGTCTCTTTCCATAAGGCTGATTCTCTTTAACTGTGCGACCAGCGGAAGCAGGTGTGTTCAAACAGGGCATGGATCGAAGAATCTGCCCTTGTTGAGGTGGGTGGGCCTGATTGAGCTGCCCCCCAGGGTCCCAAAACTGGGATGGACTTGGATAGGGAGAGAGGAGGCCTGGACTGAGATGTGAGTCTGTCGAAGACTTCCTCTCCACACCCACCTTGGTCCCTCTCAAATACCCAACGGAATTCCAGCTTGAAGGATTGCATCCTGCTGGGCCAAACATGCCTGCCAAAGACGTGCGCATCCTGAGTTCCTGGCTCCCTCGTTCAGAGACTGCCCTTCTCAAGGGCTCTGTGCCTAGGCTTTGAAGGAAACCACCACAGGAAGAAAACAAATGTATGTAAACTCCTGTCAATAAATGACATGCAGACCTTCCAGCTCAGTCGTGGGTTTGTGTTCTTTGTTCGTTTGTGGGAGCCCTGGAGTCAGGACAGAGTGTTCAGCAG